GTGTTATTTTTTTCATTTTCCCTTAGCAACCACATATAATCCCGCCTTAGTGCGCACCTCTACCATGACATCTTACGGCGTCAGGTCGCGCCAAATGTGAGGCCAGCAGACTAGTTGCATTAACATGCCTCACAGGCTGCTGACAGTCCAGGCTGACACAGAGCCAGCCAGAATGCTGTGCTTGTCGGTGTCCCAACTCATTAGAAGAGGGCAAACGTGGTATTTGCTGGCCACCCTCGCCCTGTTGATGGGCCAGCTGGCCAAGGCCCAACTCGAGGCTGACTATGAATTCCAGATATTCGAAGAGTTGCCACCCGGTCATACCGTTGGTAACCTTATTGAGGCCATGTATGCCCCGTTGGCGCACTCACCAGGGCAACAACGCCAAGGGTCGATGCCGCACGAGGGAAGTGGTGTTAGTGGGATCGAAAATGATGGGAACAGTGGTCTACGTTTTCAGATCCTCAACGCCGCTGAACAGGGGGCCAGCCTATTTACAGTGAGTATTATAACACAGAAAAATTTAGACTTTCGAATTTTACCTATTTTAACAAATTAGGAAAGCATGCAAAAATAAAGAGTTTTGCTCAATTAGTTAAGGACTTGTTGAGTATATGACAATTAGAAAAACTATATAGACTGATTTCCTACATTATCCTGACCAGCTTTGATCTCAGAAGTGAAAAATATTCATAAATTTGGACATAGTCTGCTCCAAATGTTATTAAACTAATCAGATTTCGGATGAATTTTACCTTAGAATACTAAAGTTTTAACGTCTACGAGTAAACTGAGCTAGCCAGTAGGATTCGCTTCTGTCGCATGCTGTTCACTAGAAGCTAAAACTTTCCCTTACATGGCTGAATCAAATTATACGAGTGGTTTAGTATACAGAAAATCGCTATATCTACCTCACTGAGACGATCTAAGAAGTGTCTGACATCCCCCGACAGCTTCTGAATCTTCTTACCCCAAAACTAATGAGAGGAAGTAGTTAGCACCGCTTTAGAAAATCAAAATAAAGAGAAAACTCTTTTAATTTTTTTATGCTTCTTATAGCCTTTAACATGAGATCGTTGAATGTGTGTGAGTGATTCTATGAGCATGCTAAGTTTCCTTAGGAAATCAGTTTTCTAACCTCATCAGTTAACGATAGCTTTGGCTTTTTCTACATTATTTAGTGTTCTTATTCGTTCCTACTTCCGGAAAAAATATTACTTTACGATGTAATTTAACACAGCCCAACGTAAGACTTATTAATCCGGTATAAACAAGATTAAATGTTAGGCTTTGACGACCGAGATTTCATTGCATTCATTCTTAAGGCCTCAGATTTCCTTTATACACAAGCTTCAATCTTCTCTTTAAATGATTTGCAAATCTTGAGGTGTTTAAGATTATTTTTTGCCACGTCACTGCAAGAACTCATTGAAAAATTATAATGATACTGCTCAAGAATGCTCACCTCATCTGCTCTTTGGCGTCTATGTCGAAGGGGTAAGTTTGATAATTTTACGAATACCAAAAACTTTCCATTAGATTTGTTGGCTCGACTTTACTTTCGCAACTTGATCGGAGCGTCGGGGAGACCTTGTGAAGAGACCAGGTTACAGCATAATTTTTGTTTGTCAACCTAAACAAATGGACAGAGAGGGTTATAGTGGAGAAGTATCGCAGACAAGCTAGTAGGCCTATGAATAGATGGATATTGTTTCGTTTATAAGTAGGTTTTCAAGACTAGCAGTAGGTAATTTATATATTAAGTATATTCATTCTATTGCATTTAAGGTTATAAAGGGACTGGTAGTTGAAATTTCTTGCAATGATATGGGTAGACCTTACTTTTACATTGAATTTCGCATAAACTTGCTTTACAAAAAGCTATTCGCATACAGGGTGAAATACAGTTTCTATCTCGCCTGGGTCTTGCAAACACCCCAGCACGACTCTAAGCATCACAGTACAGCATATTAATTCGACACGTGAACCATTGTGCCACATTGCCATGAGTGCCCTTGGGTCAAAGGATAGATTTGAATTTCGAGAAAGGTCAAGTATTTTCCAACATGCTTTATTGGGATTGTCGATGAGGCCAGGTTGTATTTGCTATGACAATCGACTACATTTTTTTCCGTTTATAAGTATAGTTTAGTTACTACCTGTAAATCATTCATGTTAGATGTATTCACCCTATTTCGTTTCAGGTGATGAAGGACTGGTAGTTGAATTTTCCCAACTCCCAAGGCATTCTTAGCAAAGTGGAGTAGTGATTAATGTGTCGCGATTACACGCTGCACGATCATGGTTTGAGTCCCGCTGGGGGTGTTGATAAGCCCTAGGCGACGTCGAAATTGTAGTCCACATTGGAGGAGAATACCTTTTAAAAAAATAAGGGAATGTTAGATTCAATCGAAATGTAAGGCCTACTCATATCATTGTGGGAAAAATTCAACTACCATTCCCCTAATCATCTTAAACGAAATGGAGGAAATAAGCACCATACAAAGATAGACCTAGTGTTTTATGGTTGGCTGGATTGGTAAATACATATAGAGATCAGTGGACGACACGGGTTTGGCAGGTAGATTTGTAAGAGAATATCAGAAGAGATGTGGACCACAAAGTCGATAGACATACAGATGAGCATATAGGACAGGATAATGAGTACCTGAACACTGCTAGGCATTGATGCGTACCGATTTAATCACTGATATTTTGGCTCAAGCTAATATCAAATATTAAACAGCATAAAGCACGTTTCGATGATCATTTGTTTGTAGATCGTCAAGTAACTAGGTTTTCATAAAAAAATAAAAAATTTTGATAATTAGATTGAATCATGTTAGGTGTCGAAATTTGATTAGAGTTTAATCAAATTTTTGGCTAAGTTCATCGATATAAGGCAATAAAACATCTTCATAGCAATATTTACTAGCATGCTTCAAGATTCTTGAAATTTATGTGTTGTATTTGCCTTTACAGAAATCTCTTATTCTCCGGCATAGCCTAGACTTTTTGGGGATTGCTAAGGGGAAATGGATAAATGTGGAAACTAATTTTGAGCATTTACCACAGGTTTTGTGCTCATG